AGAAGTCTAATGTGCATGAACTACTCAGCAGTCAACGATAATGGGGAACTGCCTATTTAGAGGCACATGTATTCCCAGGGGCCTCAGACTAACCGCACAGCTCTGCTTTCATGGGTCCTTCTTTCGTAATTGTCAAGATATAGAGTTAGATTTGAATGAGAAAGGGCAAGATTACAACTGAGCAGGAGGCCTTTCTTCCACTTCTGTTTTCAGAACACTAGAAAGATGGATGACTAGGTGAATGTGGAGCAGCCGAACCAGGGAGGTAGGATTCTTTAGGAATTCTATCTTCCACACTTTTGTAATCATCATTTTGAAAATGTTGTTACTGAGTAACTGATTTAGTTTCCTCATCATCCCTCCATAATGTCTTTGAGTTGGAGGGTGTCCTATGTCTATTTATATCTCTTTCATTACTCTGAAGTGGGCCATTGACTTTTATCAAAAGAGTAAGACGTTTATTGTCTTACTGTCATATCACTAACTTCCCTTATTTAGCTCAGTCCTCATATTAGTCTAAAATAGTAGGCATTAGTATGAATGATCCCATTATAACAAACGATGAAGCTGACAGAAAGATTGATACTTGCCAAAGGCCAAAACCTTGCAGTTTGAACATGAATCTCGTCATATGCACATCTCTGAAAGATGGATGGCACAAAATGTTGTTTCAAAGATTGGTGTCAGTTAACTTTAGCAAAGGTGTTGAGAATGATTGGAACCATCGGAATTTTCTTGAAAGGAAGTCAGTTTAGTTTTTGTAATACTGAATTCAAGAAGATGATGTTCAGTGAGTTGTACTCAGTTCCCGCATCTGTTTTAGAGAATGAATAGATAGGTCCAGCCTTTATAATGTCAAATTCGTATGTCTGATAGTAAATAAATTGCAAAGCATCTGAATATGCTGTCTTCCTCTTTACTTTAACCGGTGTTAGCCCAGCCTTCCACAGGAGTTAGATCTTTTGTGTGGGGTGAACAGGGAAAGGAGACTATTCGACTATTCTGTATATGTTACAGGAATAGGGGAAGACAGATGAGAATGATTGTTTACAAGAAAAATGGCAACCAGTTAGGCTTTGCTGCATCATCTAGTTATTAAAGCATACATAGCTTCATTGTCATAGGCATTAATGGTTTAAATTAGTATAGTGCCTATTAAAGCCTATTTTACATCTCCGCTTATAACTCAGATGAGCACTGTGAACTGTTTCAATTTAAAATCAAATTGTTTTCAACAGGATGCATTCAGTTTACTAGCTTATTCAGATCCTTGGAACAGCCCAGTTGGAAACCAGCTTGACCCCATTCAGAGAGAACCTGTGTGCTCAGCTCTAAACAGTGCAATATTAGGTAAGTGAAGCCAAGCACACAATTTCCATTGGATTCTCTGCTATTTGAGGTGATATTTTGCTGGTAATTGTATTACAATTATAAGAAAAATGGTGTCTGCATTTTAAAAAATTAAAATTACCTTGAAGTATAGAAAACTTCATTTATTGCAATTCCAAATCAAATGGATTAATGGAATCAAAACAGTACTTTGGTTGCATCTTAGGATATCTGGAAAATAACTTGTGTCTGGGTGTAAGTGTTTCTGGCCTAAGCCATCTCTATCCCAGTTCTAGTGATCCATGCGGGCACATGGCACTCTAGGAGCCCTGTTGGCACTGGCTCTTGGACTTGAATATAAACTTAGGCCTTTTCCAGACATAAGGGGTGGATGGAGAGCAGTTTAACTAGTGAGACTTAGCCACAGGTGAGCATGAAGAAAGAAACTGGAATTAGTTATTTCCCTGGTTGATTGCCTTTCTTTCAGGTACTCAAATCTGCCTTTTATGTGGATTCTATGATGGTTCACTGTGTGCATTTGTATATGAACTTATAGGGTTGGTGGTTTTAAGCTTTTAATTTCTGGGCAATTCTTTCCAAAGATATTGTAGATGAGAGTGATTTTTTTCACTTGAGCTTGCAATGAAATTCTTTAAGGAAAATGGGACTCCTATTCCGAAATCTGTCCTGTGCTGTTTGTTAGATGTGGGGATTTAGAGCGATGTTTCAGATTATTTTAGAAAGATTAGAGCAGAGCCACAAAGAGTAGGTTAGAGGATGCTCAGACAGGAAAACTTATAAGAAGGGCTGGAATTTCACATAGGAAAGAAATTAAAAGTCCTCGTATTTGTGCCTTATTCTTTCATTGTATTCATTTTTAAGTCATCATGTAATAGAGTTCTAATACTGAAGTTTTAAAATAGGAGTTGCCTCTTGCTATATCTGAAGTTTAGAATTTCTATATAGTAAGTACTATGAGTTTTCTTTGGTTAATGTGTTTTATTTTCTGCGTAGCTACAATTCATTGAGCTCTAATGGTAAAAGCCGGAGAACTGAGTAGCAATGCTGGGATTGTAGAACAAATTATGATATATAATTTTTTAATCTTTTTGAAATTATAGGAAATCATGAAGCCTGTATTGCTTTGTGTTTAGGTAACACTCAGACATACTGCCCTGGATGTTTGCCTCAGAGCAGGGTTACTTCCCTGTGGACCTTAAAGTGACATTTTTGAAAGGATGTTTCCTTTTTTGGTGTTTATTCCATTATCATCATGTTGATTTTGTGTGAAAATTAAGTTGGTTCAAGTTAACACAGAATAAACTATTAACTGCTTAAGAGTTGTAAAAACATGTTGTGTCAAAATCAGAATCCAGCTACATAGTTTTGCCAAAGCACAGGCAGCACTTGAGTGTTGCCCACAGACCACGTTTTCTCGTCTTTTTGCCTTTTCTTGCATACTTTTTCCTTAATATATTTTATCCCAATTTCTTTTCTCTTGTACCATCAAGAGAACTTTTTTTTTTGCTTCATCCTTTCCAGCTTTTCCCCCCCTCCTGTCACCACCATACCACGTCTGATAATCAAGTGTAATTTAACAGTGTTACAAGCTGTGGATTAGTTGTCTTTGTTTTCAGTTGAAGGTCTATTAGTAATTTTATTAGTCAGCAATCTACATAAACTTAAAATTAGGACATCTCTCTATTAAGAAATTTAGACCAGGGTCTGTAAATTTGGCTACTTTCACTATTAACTCTTTGCTAAGAATATATTTTGGTAAGTACGTTACTATTACCAATTAGTCTAACAAGGAAATTTATCTATATGTAGGACCCTAAAAACTTTAATTTCTTGGTAGTTTTTACAGTGTTTCACCTATGAATTATGAATTAACCCCTCTGAAAATATAGGTGATTTTGCTCCCAGTCAACCCAGTACCCACCAGGATATGGTGAAATGTTCAGGCAACTTCATTTGGCTTTTATCCCCAGAGAAAATCCATCAGTGAAACATTCACTGAAAATCCGGTGTTTTTTTTTTTTTCCTGTTAAGGTCAGCGGATTAGAAGAGAAATTTAAGTATTTCTTGTCCCCCCCCCCCCAAATAATCAGATAAAGGTCTACATTTTTCCCATGTTAGCTAATATAGCTAAGTTTTTGAGTAATACATTAGAAGTCTAATTCTATAAAGACTATTCCTTAAAGTTGAATATCCAGTACCCATGTTACCTTATTAGAGCAGTTATTTCCAACATATTGATCATTTGGTATTTGAGCATAATAGGCTCTGGTCATTTTTGTATGAGTAAGAGTAATGCATTGTTTTCCAAATTGTTCTTTTAATGCCTTCCTAATTGCAATTTCCATTTCTCATTTTTCCTCAGAAACCCACAATCTGCCAAAGCAACCTCCACTTGCCCTAGCAATGGGACAGGCCACACAATGTCTAGGACTGATGGCTCGATCGGGAATTGGATCCTGTGCATTTGCCACAGTGGAAGACTATCTACATTAGCTATGCATCTAAGGAGCTCACACTTATATCGTGGCATATAGTCAACATGGAAGTAGACCAGCTCTGCTGATTTGAAATTTAGATTTTTTTTAATTATGTACTGGGGACAGGTTTTTGTCGCTTTACATTGCTTCCTAGTTTACAGCATGATGCAAATGATTTTCTAACTTAGTGTTAGGAGAAATTATTTTCCATCTTTAACCTCTTAGTTGTCTAAGAGTTAAATATTACTGAATTTCAGACGTTCAAATTGATCATCACAAATCCTTTAAAACAATTACTTAAAAGAAACCAAAAAATCCTGCCGCCTTTGTTGGGGGGAAGAGAGGGGAAGGAAATGGAACAAGTTGTGTTTGTGTTAGCATGTGGGTGATGTAAACTTCAAATTGGGAGATGTTCCGACCCCTGCTCCCATATAAGCATCCAATCAGTGTAACTTGCAAAATGCATAAACATCCGACAGTTTGAATTTATAGTGTTGATGGAAGAAATCATTTTTAATGTGTACTGTAAAACTTGAAATACTCAGGAGCTGAGTGAATATGTTTGTTGCTACTTACAATCCCGACCTGTTAGTCCCAGTAGTTTTGTTTTAACATGGTCTTTTTCAACTTTGTTTCCTGTTTAACTACAGAGGACTTCTGTTGTAGACTCACAAGTTTAACTGTTGTATTATAACAGTATTACATGTCAACAGTGTGGTTATGACCTTTATTTATATAAAAACCAAATATTTAGTCAATTTACTGTGTCTTAATTTAATCTTTGTACACCTTCCATTTTTAAGTGCTTAAATGAGTACTATATTGCAATAAAAATGTAGTGATATAATTAACCAGCCATTAAAAATTTACTTCTACAGATACGAGTCTCAACTGAGTTTATATACTAGGTAATTGCATAAATAGGTCTATATCTTAAGACTGCCTTCAAGTTACTGGCCTTCCTGGATTGGGATCAAACCTGATGTTGTAGGTGAAAGAGAATAATCTCAATTTCCTCCATTTGACTTTGTGAAATTTTCATGTGACTGCCAGTGAAGCAGACTTCTTATGTCATAAAAGCTTTTCAGCTGGATGGCCGTATCCTTTGGCTATGCAAATGTATTGCTGACTACATGATGTACACAAAGAATGGGTGTTGGTCTACATTTTAGATACTGTTCCAGTTATTTATTCCACATTCTGCAAAACAGTCTCATCAATAGCACCAAAACATATGAGTGACTAAGGCATCTGAGAATACAATTAAGACTTAATGGATGTTACTTCTTTTTCTGCCACATACCCACATTGAGGATGGGGGGAGGGGTATAAGAAACATTGTTGGGATTGTGATAATTTCATAAATACAAAAGAAAGGAAAAGAATTCATTTTAATCTGTTTCTGTTCCATTGTGCAAATAGACAAAGCACAGCCATGCTCTAGAAGCAAAAAATGTGACTAGATACTCCTTTTATTTACAATTTTTGTAATGACAATTCAGATGGTATAGAAATTATGAGATGTTCCCCCCGTAAAAAAGAATCCTCTGAATAACAAGTTCTTTATATACACTTATCTTCGATTTACTTCTTAGAAGCTTTCATCTTCCTGAACATCCACCGTTTCTTAAACCTCTTGGCATTTTGTTTTTTCTGGGTTCCTACAATAGAAAGTTTTGTGTTTTGTTATTTACAAAATTCCCAGCAAAAAATCTAAAACATACACAATTTTGCCCTACTTTACAAATATGAATTTAAATATTACGTCTACTGGACTAGAGTATGTTAGAGACATACTACCCTGACCTACTCCAAAACAACTTTTTAAAAAATTATAAAAATGATACTTCATAATTATTTGAGTATTTTTTTAAAAAGAAACATTATTCAGTATACACATAAAGCTACCAAAGTCAAGAGAATGTAGTTAGCTCTTACCCCAAGCATTATTTAAAAACTGGGCTGCAGCCTTCTTCACTGGTAACCTCTTGTTTTCAAGGGACAGGAACTTATTTACTGTAAAAGAAAATTCTTTGTTTTAATCACAGCAAAAAGTGAGAAAAAGCCATCCATCTATAACAAAGTACCTACCTGTAGTTCTGTTGGTTCCTGGGCCATATAAACAGTTTTGTATGAAGGCTTTAGCTGCCTCTTTCCTTGAATCTCTTAGATCTTGATCTTTTAGCCTTACAGCCACATAGCTTTTATTCTGGCTGGTGAACAATACAAAAAGTCAAAGCAAATGAAGGTGTTAATAATATGCTTATTTTCAAATGAAAGTGTTCTTGTCTTAAATAGCGGAAGTCCCTAATTTTGTAAATACAGACAAAGTTAATTATAGGGCTCAACATTAAGAAAGTCTAATATTCATATTAAATTATAACAAATGCTTTAATATCAAAATTGAGTTTTCTACAAAGGATCCAATCTAAACTGCTAACATTTTTCCATGCAAAAAACACCCTCAAAAGGTCACCATGACACAAGCTTTTATGAGCAGACAACCCTTACCCAACAGACTGTACTTTCTGCACTTTAGTTTTCTTGGCGTCACTCCCCTTTACACATTCATTTTTCTTTTGCAAATCAGCTAAAAGAAGGAATTATATCTTAATTAAGCATATGTATGGACCAAAAAAAAGAAAAAAATACAACCCAACACCCAACATTTATTGGCGTTGCTTTAAATCACTATTACATACCAATGTAGATTCAACTTTTGTTTGTAATAAAGGCAACAAGCCCAAGCTAAACTTGGTCAATTCTATGCTTTTTTCCTGTGAGCCTTTAACATTTAAGTGCAAAAATCTAAAGACATTTGACATTTAAACGAGAAGTTATTTAATTCAAAGTAGTTCATACCTTTTTTCAGTTTTCCAGGTGATTTCTTTATGCTAAGAAAGAAAACAAAAAAGCCACTGACTAATGACAACACCTTGTATCATCCTCAGGATTTTTACTCAGCTTTATTAAAACATAAGCCAAAGCCACCCGCCCAATGCCATCAAACTCCCAATCAACAAGCTAGTATATACTGGGATTCAAGTATCATCCCAGATGTGAAAATCAGACTAACAGGCTTCTGAAAGTAGATGGCTAGTGGAGTTAAAAAGTGAAAGATTTAACAATGAGTTGTCAATATCAAAATGCAAAGTGAAGGGTGGTATGCCTGCCTCTATTATGAGAAATCACAAAATTAACAGTTTGCACCCGAGGTAATATGACTAGCCTCTGAGTCTGGTCTAGTGGAGAGACTAATACTGACAAAAGCACAAAGTGAGATGTTTATGTGTATACAGAAGCACAGAAAGCTATACAAAGGGAGAATGACAGGAAGGGTGGGAAGTCAAAGAGTGGAGAGGTGACATTTTTAGCTTGGTTTGGAAAAAGGGAATTTGCCACCAAATACACTTTACTGTACTCGGGCTGAATACTTTTAGAAAAGTTCTTTTATTGAAAATTTGAGAATCATCGGACTAATAAGTAAATGAACTGAAATAAAAGCACTAAGGAGAGAAAACTACAAATATGTAGAAGTTGAAATTTAACAGTATTTGATTATTTTTGGAGGGCAGAGGATGAACATTAGGCTGTTAACAGTGAACTGGTGAAACTACTGAACGAAATGGGTGCGGAGGAGCAACAACAGGTAGGTGGCAGGTGTAGGACAAGGTGCGTTTTAGGAGCTGGTGGCTAAGTACCTGCTGCTTCCATTGGTTGTCAGTTTCAAACACACACCCAGCAGCATCTGCAGTGTGAGGCTGCACAGCTCACTGCGCACGGTCTGGGAAACTAAGAGTCAGCCATGGCCTTTCTCTCCACGTTTCCCCACAAACCTTGAAACCTGTGTGGTTTTTTCATTTAGGCTTATCATTTCCTCAGTTACGTGGCTTCAAATAAATGTAGCAGTTCAAAGATGGGTGCATGTTATAATACAGGATCCGCTACTCACCTGGTCTGTGGAGCTGTTAACTTCTCTAGAACAGTATCTGGAAGCAGCTTCCTTTTCTGAAAGACATTTAAAACACCGATAGAAAATGAGGTGCACGATACCTGACCCAGGACTCGCGCCGGGCTGCTCCCGCAGTCTCAGGCCTGCCCAGCACCTGGGCCGGGACCGAGGTGGGTACAGAACGCAGCGTCTCGTTCTTTCGCAGCTTTAGCGCAGGCCGCACGTCACGGTTTTAGGTGGATGGCGGTTCGGTCCTGTCCACTGGGCTGGTCATTCTGTGGCCAGCCCTCCAGGCACCAGAGCGACGCACCGCGCGCAGAGGCTCAGCCTGCAAAGCGCCCACCCCACGCTCACGACACAGCAGCCGCAGACACCACCGCGCGGCAAGAACCCCGGCCGTCGGCGATGGGTCACGCCACCCGCAGCGAGGCCGGCGCGCGTCCCACCTCAGCTCTCACGGCCGCAAAACGGCGATTTTGTCCCGAGTGGTTTTCAAACTGAGACGAACCTTCTGTTCAATGAACAGCTCCTCACGTCGCTTCCTCTTCTCCTTCAGGAGCGATTTATCCCTGCGGAAAAGCGTGACGAGACCCGGTCAGAGCCGCAGCGCGCGGGGCGCCGGGGAGGGGGGGCGCGGGGCCAGCCGGACCGGCCGCGAGGCCCACACCTGCGCAGGGTCTCCCGGACTCGCTTCTCCTCTTCCTTCGCTTCGGCCTGGGCGCTGGCGAAAGTCAGCTCCTCCGGAGCCTCGTCGTCGGACTCCTCCTCCCCTTCCTCATCCTCCAGCGGCTCGGCGGCCGCGCCGCTGCTGGGCTGCCCAAGCAACAGGCCGTGCTCCGCCTCCTCCTCCGAGGAGGGCTGGCCCTCGTCTACCATCGCCGACGCCGACACCGGGGCGCGGGAGGCCCGCGGCCGGAGCTGCACCATGGCTCACGCAAGCCACACCGGGCGACCTCTGACTCGGAAGCGGCACGCGCGGAGCGTGCCGGGAAGAGCGGCGACTCGCTGTACCGCCTCCTGCAGGTCCGGAGGTCCCACGGAGCTTCGCGCAAGCGGTACACCGACCAGCGGAGGCGCACGCGCAGAGCTGGGGGGCGTGGTCTGGAGAGGGGCGAGGCCTAATAGAGGGGCGTGGTCAACAGGTGGGCGTGGTCCAGCGGGGTTGGGGGGCGTTTCCTTCCGCGGGCTGGAGGCTGAGCGCCGGGATCCGCGTGCGTCCTACCTACCCCAGCCTGCGGGCGCTCCGGCTGCGGCGGGTCGTGGTGGGAGTTGCCAGCGATCAAGGAAGCCTCGTCCAGCCTCGGATGCTGAAGCTGGTTCGCCGATCCCTGCGCTCCTGGAGCCAGGATGGCGCGGGTCCCGCCGGGCCGGGAAGCCCCTAGCTGTTCGTAGCACCGCGATCCTCTTGTGGTTCCAGGTCACCCTGTTTTTAGATCGGGTGTCGTCCCGCGGGAGAAACGCGCGGTTAGCGACTGGGCCGCGGTGTCTCAGTTTTGTCGTCATCGAGCAGAAAAGAGGTTAGCAGACGCGGGCTCAGTCAACCTCTGGCACGGAGCATGACTTTGGCCGCCCTTTCTCATCTCCCAGCCGCAGCTTCTCCGCGCTACCTGTCCACGCCGCCCCAAGTCTTCTCCGCACCCCACCCCAACCCCGCGCACAGGATGAACCCTAGAGTAGGCTGGTCCCACGGCCCTGGTCCTGGGGCGGCCTGCGTCGACGCTGCTGGGAGACCACAGGCCCCATGTTGCTGCCTGAAGGCTGTCCCGCCAGCTGCCCCAGTAGCTCATGGCATGCAGGCCCTTTAGATGTGTTTACTTCCTCCACTCACGGTACAGAGCTCAGTGACGCCTCATGTCAGCACAAACCAAGCTGTCTCGCACCTGCCATGCATTCGCACAAGCCTTCCCCACTGATGCACACTCCACGTGTGCAACTCCTATTTATACGCAAAAAAAAAAAAAAACTCCCACCCGGATTGACTTGCTCTTAGTCTTTCAAGCACCTAATCCACCCTATATTGGCCTCACCCTCCCCATCTCTAATTGCATCCTCCTCTGTACCCAGCCCGAATTTCTGTCACTGTAGTTTAGACATTTACACAAACATTGTGTGGTCTTGAGGGTCAGGCTCATGTCTTACAAATTATTTTATTTCTGATGTCTATCATATTCATGCTCAGAAATAGTAAATTGCAATAATTCTCCCTCACAAAAATGTTTCTCTTTTCAACTCAGATTTAGAGTCAGTTACTAATTTAAAGGCAATAAAACCAATATATGAACAAAAATGACAAGACAAAACAGCTCTGGTATCCAAGGGCAAGCGTGAGATGAGCTGCAAAGATTTCTAAACTAATGGGGCCTTGATCAGATAGAAATCATAGCTTCAGTCTCCGACAGTGAGCTGGTTACATGTGGAAAATGTAGAAAGTTAACTTTGAAAAGCACCATAAAAGCAAATGATGGCATTTTTGGACAAAAACTGCATAGTAAGGATTACAAATCTTCTCATGTATTCCCCACCCATGTCCAGTGTGACTCAAGCCCTCAGAGTATCTGACTGGTCCTTCAGAGCCCCCCAGAGGTGCTAAACATGTCCTGCACATGCAAAGGATCTTTGAGATTCATTAAAAGGTATGATTTGCAAATGGAGTACAAAGTTTTACGCAACCCTGCCTTGTCCTACAAAAAGCTAAGGGTGTGACATTAAATGCAATGATGTAAGGGGCTGAGGAGAGGTAGTCCAAGTGTGTAGCCGCCCAGAACACCAAACCCAGGGACTTACTTACTCATGACTTTCTGACACAGTTCTCTAAAGTTAACTCCTCCCAGCCCAGCCTCAGAAGCACCTACAGGGACAGGAACAACAGACATTTCAAGGACGCTGGGTGCTGTCCCAGGTGATGAGGCTTAAGGAGAGAGCTGCATTTACAAGCGTCAAGGCAGCTTGAGCGCACATTTTAAAGTCCCCTGGGAAAAACTACCTTTGGGATTCAGTGTTTGGGAACACTTGTCTGACCTGGAAGGACTATAGACTTCTGTGTTTGTGACACTGAGAAACAGGCAGCCATCACCTCTCCCCTCCCTCCATGGCTGCTAGCTCAGTGCTATGATTTAGGCAGCTGTATTTATCCTTGGGGTCCATATATTTGCATCTTTCTTTTTCCTCATTCTGATTTTCTCTTGTGGCTATTTTCTCTTCCTTCCTGGCACAAGCTCCTGGTGTAAGCTATCCCAAGCACTTTGAGGGCAAGTCAGGTACATAGGCTGAAAAGACAAGGCCCCCTACAAAGACACCTCTGGGGGTAACATCTTTATTTAATAAATTACCTACTATAGAGAATGACCGGTTTTCAACAAAACTTGTGCAAAAATCAGAAATGTCTGATTTTTGATAAAATCAGGGTCTTATCAAAATCTTTTTTTTCCCAAATAAAAAGTACAATCAGAATAATTACATTTTTAGACAACATAACTACAAAATTTTTTCCCTCCCAATGATCAACCATCAGAGGTATCTTAAGTTTATATTCAAACCAAATAGCATGCATTAACTTTGTAGTTGTCTGACTTTTTCTTCCAATGATATTTGCTAAGTAACATAATGGGTTCACATCCATTAGCAACAGGTTAGAATTCCAATATTCAGCTCACCACCCACAAAACTGTTTTTCCTCTGTGAAGTAGTCCTTAGACCTAACTATAATTTCTTCCTTTTCCAGGATAATTAAGAAATGGTTTCCGTTTCATGAGGTGCCAGGGCTTCTGGAAGTGTTGTACCACAGGGCCCCTGGAAATGAAACCTAAAAGAGAAGGACAATACAGCAGTTCTGAGTAAAAAGTGAGTGGCTACTTCATCAAGACATACATTTCTTAGTTCTAGCAGAGCAAAGTCTAAACTCTCACAATGGTATTTTGATTTTTGGTGCCCAGTTCTTTCAATGAGTTTCTGACAACTCAAGACACCTCACTATTGGTTAGGTCTGTTCAAGGAAATTTAGGAAAGCAATTGACTAGAATTTATGTGCTATAAATGAAAAATGTACTGCAAGGGGTAGCAGAGACATGATTATTAAGTGTTTTGTGGTGTTTCACTAATGTAATAATTGAAATTGCAAACTTTAAGCAACAAATATATTACATAAAATCAACATTCATATGTACAAAGGACAAGAGAAAATTTGTGTGCTATGTAACCATAAGGCTTCTCACACCATCCAATGGCTTCGTGACTAGCCATGACTTACAGTCAAAAAGGAGAAGGAAAAACAGCAAAGATGGAAGAAAAGGAAGACAAATCAACGATTTCTGCTTCCTTCAAGGAAAAACACATAGGCTGGAGGTAGCTAAGTAAAAACTCTAAATGAAGAAAAAGAGCAGAATTTTCTAGTGTATGATTCCTTATTAACAACTAAGCAAACCAACTGAGCTCATTCAATAGTAGAAAAAAACATTGGCTAAGTATCATTCTTGATGATACCATTCTTGATATAACCATGTTGAACTGTTCTCTGAACAGAGGCCCTTGATAGACGCTCCTGACAGATGGCATTGCCACACCACCTGCCACCTGGAGCATGCAAGCCACTGGCCTCTCAAAAGCTCTGTACTCCAGCAGTGGTTATAGTCCCTTGAGGACCTTCAAAGAAGTACAGCCAGGCAAGCAGAGCTCTTTAGAATCTGCATGCTCTCCTCTACCCCCCTCCCACCGCCTCCCACCTCTTCTCATTCTTAAGAGTGACTTTCAAGGTCACCTCCTTCACATTAACAAAGGCAAGCGGTTCCTCTTACCCATCTCAACCTTACAATGGTGCCTTATTCCAAAATTTGAAAATAGATGAGATGACAAAATAGGATATTTGAAATACTCATGTAGATCTGAGAAAACAAATGGTTTCTGAAGGCTGGGTAATGAGCGCTAGACAAGGAGGTGAGTTCATTCTTGCTTGCAGTAAAACTGGAAGAGGGTCGGATGGAACAGTCAATCAACAGACCACCAAATGTGATCCACAGTTAGTATGTAATTTTAACATATAATTTGGTGGGAGGTCCAAAATCTGAGGAAAAGTGTTCCTTCAAACTCCAGATTTACGTGTTCTTGGATTCTACTAGAAGCAAAAACTAAGAATTAAAATTGATAATACAAAGATGAAATGTAAGTTGGCCTGTAAAATTCTGCCCTGTCATCCTTTGAGTGGAATAAGAGACACAGATAGAGCCAGCTGCAAAGTTAATAGGGAACTACTTCTTTCTAGAACAAACTGTGAAGTATCATAAAACATACTTCTTTGATTACTGCTCTTTTACTTACTGAGGGATTTTGTTCTCTAAAATCATAAACTGCCCCTCCCTGGTGGCACAATGGGTTAAAATGAAGCACTGCAAACTAGCTACAGCCACTTTAGAGCGAGTTAGACCCCACTTCGCTCCCACAGACCTCTCCTGACCCGCCCACTGCTCCCCTCAGCAGTGGACTTCATAGATCTGCCTGTTCTGCCCCCTACTGTGTCTCTGGTGAATCCTCTCACATGGACTTCTCGCCAGTACCCCAGTTCTGTATGCATAAATAAAAAATAAATCTTAAAAAAAAATAAAATGAACAGACACTTTATTGTAATTACAACAATATAAAATGAAGTATCCTCATGAGCGTGGAGCATGAGAGTCTGGTGCAAGACCCACATCTATCTTCCCTTTGTAGTTTCTAGGAAACAGGATCCAGTGCCCACCTTGCCAGTCAAACCTGATGCCTCTGCACACAGCCTCCAAGTGTTGAGTGCTAAAAATGACTTCACTTAAAAGTCCTTCTAAATGCTCCCCTCCTGCCCAGTCCCAGGGGACAGCACAGGTTCCTTGCTGGGGGCTCTGCTCTTAGAGCCTGGCTGCCTGGAGTCTAAAGCTTATTGACCTCCCCTGTCCACGGGTTTGTTCTGGTGCCTGAGGCAGACTGGGTTAAGTCAGTATGAACTCTGATTCCCATCAGTCATGACTACTCAGCCATGGATACCTGAACTAACTCAAAAAATTCACCCCCCCCATGCATATAATAAGACCTGCCTTCCCATTAAACTTCACTTTGGTGGGATTATTAATCAAAATGTATCATTTATTTTTTATTTTCAACAACTGTGTGCTATAAATTGCTGTAGCCATAATTCAATTTAGAATTTTTAGTGGGCTTTCTTAAGTTTTAAGGAAATTGTGAACAAAAAATTCATAGGTTATTTTGATGTAGGCGTCTTAACAGGGTAGTTGGCAAAATATTTTCAAGCATAAGAAGTATATTTGTACAAGTTTCTGTAGTGAAAGTAGAATGGAAATACAAATTCAAAGAGAAAAAGAAAATAGGGAAAGCTTCAATTATTGAAAAGGGCTGATGGATAGATTTACAAGCAGATGAAGTAGGGAACAAACAGCTGTTACTTCATATTTGACTGAATATTTTTATTTATTAAGATTTATTTTTATTTATTTATGCATACAAATACTGGGGTGTAGGCCAGAGGTGGGGGTGGTGGTGAGAAGATTCACCAGGGACAGAGTGGGGAGCAGAACTGAAATACACTGATGAGGGGAACAGTGGGCAAGACAGGAAAGGTCTGCTGTACCCCTAATCAACACCAGGGATTGAACTCATGCTGCAGTGGTTGGCTTGACAGCACGGGGACTTTCACCCCTTGCACCACCAGGGAGGCCCTGTGGCTGGGAATATTTAAAACCACCATGGGGGGTTTTACATTTAGATGTCAGAATTTAATTTTCAATATACTTGGAATCATACCTTTTTCAACTATTATAATGGGGAAGAAAGTTAGTGCCAAATAAAAAAATATTTGTGAAAAAAAATGTGAATGGGATGCATGCATAGAAATATTTGGAGACCCCTGTTCCATGTTGGGGGTTACCATGTTCCCCTCCTCCACTTACGTGCTGCTGCTGTGGACTAGTTTGGAAATGAGAGCAAAACTGAGCAGCCAGGTACCGGAAAAGGCAGGCAGCCTCAAAAGAGAAGGGGGTCCTTGCTTCCCTGCTTTGGACTTGCACTAGGGACTTGGGGACTTGGAGGAGATGAGTCACTACTAGTTTTGCATCTCCTTTGTCACAGATTTGCCTGGTCCCAACAGCCCCTTTCTTACTGTTCCCTGCCAGAAGGTACCTCAGACTTTGACTGGCTTTTGGGCCCCATCAGTCCCATATAGGGGACAGGAAATTTTCAGTTTCATTAATAATATCTTATCTTCTCTCATTAATGAAAGCTATTTCACACTAAAAATATGCTTCCTTTGTCTGTACGCTGCAGAAGGCAGACTTAGAGTGTGCAGTCTTTTGGATTTGACCTTGGGTGCCTCTTGTTGCCCACTACCACCAGCACACCACATCTTTGGACCTTCACTGGAAGATAACCATATTCTGTTTGTTTCAGACTACGTTCATGCCATTTTCATTGGTCAATGTTTAAAATTAGGACATAAACTGTACAAATATAGCTGTTAAAAGGGGGTTATTTCTAGGAAAACTTAGTTGAATGCTCTCGAAAGACTCAGTGAGTCGCTAAAAATAGTTCTGTTAAATTAGATGTAGGTGGAAAAACCAGATGCTTACTAACTTTTTTTTTGGTAAGTTCTTGCTCCAGTTAAAAAGAAAAACAGGAAAATATCAAAACCAGAAGTTACAACCCCATGTTTACCAAGATTTCCTGATGAGAAGAACCACCTGGCTCACTTGTGAAAATAAACACTCCTCTTGACTTGGGGATTCTGACTCCCGAAGTCTAGACTGGATTTCATGAGGATTTCATTTTCTTAATTGTCTGTTTTGTTTTTTAAAATGAGGGCTGCAGGGTTTTATAAATCAGGGAACTTGACAACTCCAGGAACTCTGAATCAAACAAGGTAGACAGAAGGTGAGTTCCAATCAGCAACTGCCCACAGAGGGCTTTAGCTCTACATGAAAAACTAAAATCAAAGCAGTGAATGTTCATTTCTGCTATAAATGAGAATAAAGTAGTTTAGGACACAAGCAATACATGTACCTATTTTATTATTTTTGCTTTAAATGACTTTTATGATTGAACTAAGGGCCCAGCCTTCTACCCCTGACAGGTCAGTCAGAGAGTGTTGGACCACCCTAGCAAATATGGACAACTGTAACTTAAATAAAGTAACCTCTTCACACCTCTGAATATTCACACATAATAAAAATTGCTATCTAAGAATTCCCTAGACTTTTCTTTTTTAAAGATGTATTTATTTATGCATAAAAGAACTGGGGTGTTGGCCAGAGGTGTGGGGGGGTGAGAGGATTCACGAGAGACAGAGTGGGGAGCAGAACAGGCAGATCTACTGAAACACACTGCTGAGGGGAGCAACCGATGAGACAGGTCAGCTCCCTGGCTGGAGATCAAACTCATGCTGCAGTGGCTGCTGATTGCGCCATAGTGTTGAGACTTAACTCCTTGTGCCACTAGGGAGGCCCAAAATTCTCTAGACTTCTAAACTCTGGTAGATAGCTTTCTTAGGGTCGGGGGCCCTTACTTCTCCACACAACTTACTTTTACCTTAGACTGAACCCTCTAAATTAGAATTGGGGCAAAGAATCTAAACAACTTGTGTGATGTCTAAGGCATCTTGTGAGATCCAAGTTTAAAATACAGCCAGCATTCCTTTTACCTTTTTAGGAAATAAAGAAGATCAGGTTACAAGTAGCAGGAAAAATGACTTGAACTTTTCTATTTCCTTATTAACTAGTGCAGGGGTTAGCAAACTTTTCTGTAAAGAGGCAGAGAATAAATATTTTAGGCTTTGGAGGCCAGATGGTCTCCGTTGCAAATACTACTCTTTGTTGTACCAAAGCAGCCCTAGACAAAACATAAACACAGGCTCATGGCTGAGCGCCCATCAAACTTTATATACAAATACAGATGGTGGGTGAATTCAGCCTACAGGAAGTAGTTTGCTGACCCCTGACCAGATAAGAGTACACTTCAGTCAGGATCTGTTCTGCATGAGACATAAGAGAATTCAGCCATTGTTAGGCCGCATGTTGAAATAAGCCACTTTGGGGCTTCAGGGTAGTTTTCTCCACTTGAAAAAATGTCTGGAAGGGGAGGACCACTCCCTCCTAAGTGTCATCTCTGATGATTCTTAGAGAAAAGCATTTGGCTTTGCTGCTCAGTGAAAGTCCCAGATGCAGTGACCACACACTGCGCACTTCATGAGGTGGGTGTCCTGTCCATGGATCAGAACTGCTGGCTGCAAGTCATCTGTCTGTCTGGCTAGGGACATCACAGGCTTTTAGAACGTGAGGCTGAAGAGCTATGATTGAAAGAGTAGTAGCTTATAGCAGGTCCTGGCTTCAGAGGCTCTGTTTTAGTAATGACAAACATCACATGCCTTTCATCTCTTCTTGACTTACCAGGAAAAACTATCCAGTTTAACTTCCTTTCACTTGAAGACCTGACCAGCCCCAGACACATAGAGGCAGCTCCCACTGGTCAGCGTGGGCATGAGAGGAGGGGGCAGCTCTGATCCCAGGTTGTGGAAATACTTGCATTTTTACTTCATTTTCTCTGTGTGCATTTTTTTACTTGTTTACAATGACACATTGTTTTAATTTTTCATATTCATAAGAGATAAATTGGAAATCAAATGACTAAAAATAAACGACATTAGAAGAACAAAGGGTTTTTCCAGAAAGTCCCCAATACTCCTGAGTATTCCAGCAGACAGGAGCCTTCAGTTGCCCAGCAATGACCTTACTTTTGACAATGCTAACAAGACTACCACCGTACACATGAACCACAATGAACACGAGGGACCTACTCAATGAGTTATAAAATAATTTGATAACAGTTGTATTGCATTACAATGCACATATAATTTACTTAAGATTGTAATGTAATGGTATTTCTAGTTTATTTGCAGAGTTGTACACACACTGCAATAAGCTTTAGAACATTTTCAATACCCCAAAGGAAATTTATACCCATTCGCAGTCACTTCTTTTTTCTCCCTGCTCTAGCCTAGACGGCCACTAACCTATCATCAGTCTCTGCGGAGGTGCCTGGCGGCTCTGGGGCCCCCTCCACTGTTCCAAGGGCCACCCCTGCTTAGTGCACATCAGTACTTCGTCTCTTCATGGGCGAGGGACACTCCATTGTAAGAATAAACCAAATTCTGTTTATTCATCGTGAATATTTGTGCTGTTTTTACTTTTTTATTATGATAGTGTATATGATATAATGCTGCTACGAACATCCATACACACATTTTTGTCTAGGCAAATATTTTCATTTCTCTTGGTGACATACATACCAAGGGGTGAAACTACGGTTTGTAAGTGAAAAACCACTACCTATGGTTAAGTATTGAGCCATTTGAGGAACTGCAGGCTGCTTTCCAAAGAAGCTGTATCACTGCTCTCCCACCAGCAATACGCAGGGTCTGACCTCTCTCCCAACACTTGTTCCTTTCTGTTGTCTTCTTTATTATTATTACAACTCTGTTAGCATTTGTGAAATGGCATCTTGTGTGGTTTTGAATAGCATTTCCTTAGTGATTCATGATGAAAATGTAGTCCATGTGCTTATACATATATTTGGGGAAATGTCTATTTGAGTGTTCGGCACATTTTTAAATTGAGTTGTCTTTTTATTATTGAGTTGTGAAAATTCTTTGTAGATTCTGATACAAATCCCTTATCAAATACTAGACTTGCAAATATTTTCTGGTATTCTCTGTGCTTTTACATTATTGGTGGTCTCCATTTAAGTGCAAAGGTTTTATCTTTTGATGAATTCTAATCTAGTCGTTTTTCTGTTACTTGTGCTTTGATATAGTAGTGCCTTTAACTAATCCAAAGTCACAAAAATTTAAGTATAAAATTAAGTATAAAACAAAGTATAAAACTTGTGTAGTTTTAGCTCTTACATTTAGGTCCATGAAGCATTTTGTGTTCATTTCTGTAAAGGATGCAATGAAGGGTTCACTTCATTTTTCAACATGTGCCCATCCAACTGTCTCAGCGCCGCTGCTGAAAAGATTCTTATTTCCCTCTCAAACATCTTGGTTTCCTTCTCAAACATCAACTGACCATAAATGTGAGGGTTTATTTCTGGAATTTAAATGTTATTTTATACCTAGATAAACATACTTGTGACAGTTCCACTCTGTTGAAGCTACTGTAACTTTGTAATAAGCTTTGAAATGGAGACATATTAAGTTTTCCAGCCCCTGTTCTTCTTTTTGTTTTGTCTATCAATTCACTTTCATGAGTTTCATGGTGCCTTGTCGATTTCAAGAAGCCATTGCAATTTTGATAGTGCCTGTATCAATCTGTAAGTTAATGTACAGACTGTTGCCACCTTAATGATATCAAGTTGCCCAATCCAGGTACACCTGATGTGCTTCCATATATTTGCATCTTTATTTCTTTCAACAATGTTCTGTAGTTTGCAGATACACATTTTGTAGAGGAGACAAATTTTTAAAAGGATGTTTTCTAGTCCCCACCCATCTAACACAACTAGGACAAGAGCCAGCGAGTCCAGCCCATGAGGACCCTGGATAAGTGCTTCTGCATTCTGTGCCACACTTTATCCCAGTGAAGACTCAGAGCAGGGCTCCTCGCCCGGTTGCTCTAGAAGCCACCTAGGTGGCTCCCAAGCATCATGAGCTCCAGGCCTAACACTAAGAATGGCAAATAAGGAAGTTCTGCTGGGGTTGCTTGGCAAGAGTCCTGTGGCCAAGCCCCTGTAAAAATCCATCTTAGTCTAAAGTTAGTGATACCACGTTCTCCTAAAATGCAACTACAGACCCTACCCCTGCCGTTCCCCCCCCCAAAAAAAACCCCAGAAAATCGGGGGTCTTTGTAGTTAGCAGAATTGGTTTGGGAAACATGTCTGATGGCATGTCAAACCTACTGACCACCTTCCATCTCCCGCCTCGGTCATCCCAGTACCTGAATCTGTTTGTGGCTGGGGTTATTTCCGTGTTAAATTCCGCCACTGGGACTCCTCTGGCTGATACCTGGGGGGCAAACATGGCAGCTGGATAAACCACAGAGGAAGTCCCCACCTGCAAAGCAAACAAAAAGGGCCAAATGAGCACACTTTCAGGAGAAGAAGTATTTTTTTCAGAAAAACTTACATAAATTCAGGCAGGCATGTGGTTGCAAGTATGAGGGAAACTAAGATGGGATGGTGTGGATGTGGGGGTATTGAAGGGACAACTGGATCTGAGAGTGTGTTCTGACTGACCACTGGAATTCAGGAAGGGCCTTTTATGTACAAAGGAGAGTTGTGCAAAGGGAGAAACTAGCAAAGAAATGACTCAGTCATCACCCACTGTGGGGGTTAGTTCTATTTTTGTTTCTGTTCTCTGAAGTGATGCAAATAATCCATGTTCTTCTTTTTAAAGTGACACAATCCTGAAGGGGGAGGGAGAGGGATCAAGGGGAGGAAAGAGCACCAGGGACTATGGTGATGGTGCACCAGGGAACTGTTGGTGGGAAATTCTATGGGGACTACTCCTGGAAAAAAGAAAGCAAATAGTGTAAAATAAATAATAAACAAACAAACTCACACACACACAAATAAAGTGAGAGAATCCAAAGAAAAAAGATATATGTCATTCATAATCCCGCTACCCTGAGAGGACCACTGTTCACATTAGTGTGTGCATTCTTACAGGGTTTTCATATGAATCTATGTTTATAAACATCTTTTTAACACTAGGAAGACAAGACTATGCTTCACAAGCCCTGTTTTCTCACTTGACCATCGATCTTGAATGGCAGCGCAATACTCAGCACTCCAGTGACTCCACAAGTGTTGGCTGACTGAACACGCACCCCTAAGAATGGACTTCTGCTTCTAAAAATATGCCAAGGAAATTTTGAAATATGCCTACCCTCTGTCCAATTAGTTCCACTTCTAGGAAACTTGTCCTTAGGGAATAATTTGAAGAGCATACAAAGCATTGTCTACCACTGCCTCATTTAAAATATCAAACATGAAAGAAACTGAGCTCAACAACAGAGGGTTGGTTAACTATACCACTTATTATCATTCAGAAAACACCAGCAAGTCAATTAAAAGATGATGCAGGGCCCTCCCTGGTGGCGCAGTGGGATAAAGCACAGCACTGAGAATCTAAAGCCGCTTCCACATGAGTTCGATTCCTGCCTGACCCGGAGGTGACCACATGGCATGGCAGACCTCTCCTGACCCGCCCGCTGCTCCCATCAGCAGTGTACTTCGTCGATCTGCCTGTTCTGTTCCCCACTCTGTCTCTGGTAAAGCCTCTCACTGCCCCTGAGCCTCTAGCCTGTACCCCAGTTCTGTATGCACAAATAAATAAATCTTTTAAAAAAAAAAAGATGATGAAGATTTGGATGTACTACATGGAATATGCAAATATATGCTAAGCTGCTACATGTAAAGAGTAGTCAAATAAAATAAACAGAACAGGGCCTTCCTGATGGTCAAAGGGGCTAAGTCTCAGCACTATGAACTATCAGCAGCCACTGTGGCATGAGTTTGACCCCCGGCCAGGGAGCTGATCCACATGGCACAGCAGACCTCTCCTGTCCAACCCTGCTCTTCTCCTCAGTCAATTTGCCTGTTCTGCCCCCCACTCTGTTTCTGGTGAATCCTCTCACTCCCCACACCTCTGACTTACACCCCAGCTCTTGTATGTATAAATAAAATAAACCTTTAAAACAAAATAAACAGAACATATATTCTGTTTATGAGCTCATTTGATCTTTAATCAACATGGGTACATCTGCGCCAGGGAAGTTCTATACCAGGAGTCGACAAACATGTAAAAGACTGAACAGTAAGTATTTCAGGCTTTGCAGACCACCTGATTTCTGTTAGGCACATTCAACTCTGCCATTACAGTGTATCCACACTCAGATGACTCAATGTAGAAGAATGGACAGGACTGTGTTCCTGTGGAACTTTATTAGCAACAACAGGCATTTTAGTCATCAGATCTAGAAGGAAATGCACTGATATGATCATAGTGATTATTTCTGGATAGAGAATTATTGGTGATTTCTAATTTCCTCATCATAATTTCAGATCTTTTTTGTGTTTTCTCAAATTTAATTATCAGCATGAATTCCTTAAAAAAAATCAGAATCTGGCCCTCCCAGGTGGTGCAGTGGGTTAAAGCACAGCATTGAGACGCTAAAGCCACTTCACCATGAGTTCAATCCCCGCCTGCCCCGGAGGAGATCCACATGGCATGGCAGACCTCTCCTGGCCCGCCCGCTGCTCCCCTCAGCAGTGTACTTTGTTGATCTGCCTGTTCTGCTCCCCACTCTGTCTCTGGTGAGTCCTCTCACCTTCCGCATCTCTGGCCTGTAGCCCAGTTCTGTATGAATAAATAAATAAATCTTAAAAAAAAAAATCAGAAACTTCTCCAAAGGAAAAAAATACAAAGGCTAACAGGCACATGAAAAATGTTCAACATCACTAGTTATCAGGGAAATGAAAATCAAAACCACAATGAGATACCACTCACACTAGTAAGAATGGCCCACATTAAAAAAAAAAAAACCAGAAACAACAAATGCTGGAGGGGATGTGGAGATAGAATCTCTCTTATACTGCTGGTGGGAATGTAAACTGGTCCAGTCGGTATGGAAAGTTGTGTCAATTTCCTCAGAAGGATATTAAAAACAGAAAGAAAAACTGCACTCCTGTGTTTAATGCAATACTATTTACAACAGCCAAGATGTGAAAACAACTGAAATGCCCCCAAATAGACAAATGGATTGAAGAGCTGTGGTTATGTATACAATGGAATATTACTTGGCACTCAAAAAGACAAACTCTCGCTATTGTGGCAACATAGATGACACTGGAAGGTATTATGCTAGCCAGAATGAGTCAAAAAGAAAAAGATAAATACCCAATGGTATAGCATGTGGAATACAGAGAAACCAAACAAAAGGTCAAGAAAAGTCAAAACTAGCAAGTTGACCGTGGAACTGAGGTATAGAGCAGGAGGAGGCGGGGGGCGGGGGGAGCTGGAGGGTGAAGCAAAACAGGGTGAGGGATGAACACAAGGGAATATGGTGATGGTACACAGGTGGAGATGGTGACAGGAGAACTATGCAAGAAGAAAACCTAATTAAAGGAAAACAGAACCAACAATATACTCTTTCATTATTTTTGGGGGGGACGGAGGTGGAGGCTTGAGAACACAAGGCATGGTCTGGCAGGGTGTTATACATTAAGATTAATTCATTGATTTTGGTCTTTCACTACAAGCTCTCTCAATGGAAGCAGGGAGGGAAGGAGGAGGAAGGGGAGGGGAGTGGTAGAGGAGGAGGAAGGGAGGGAAAAGGAAAGAAGGAAGACCTTAAGGGTGGAGACAGGAAAGAAAGCACAGTCCACCCCAGCGCCAGCCTTTCAGAAAATCCTGAGCAGAGCAAGACCTACCACCAGACACAGGTCACAGAGGGCCAGCTCTCTGTCAACTGCTTCCAGAACATCGGGGTCCAGGTTTTCTCCAAACCACACTACGTGAGGTCGCAGCAGGCCCCCACAGCCTGCCTCTTCACACCTGTAAGAAGGTAACCCAACCTGAACACACACTGCCGAGTCTGAAGGTGCAGCAGAGAAGGCTTGAGGCTGCCCCGGTTCCAGTCACCTCTGATCCCTCTCACCCCGTTTCCTTTCCCTCCCCGCCCACTGGAGCTTGTTCTAAAACTCTACTTTTACTGACCTTATAACACTTTTTTAATCTGCCTGGATACACTGGGTTGATTTGTTGACAAATGTGCTGCAGCTCTTTCTAAACAACTTTCTCTTTCCCAGTCACTCCTTTATGCTCAGGGGCACCACCACACTCAGGTTCCCAGACCTGGGAATAATACTGGACCTGGATTTGCCTTAAACAACAATATGCCCTAATTTCATTACCTCAGTGTCTTCATTTCTTCTCAGATTAACCTTCTCTTGTTCTGTCTAGAGCCTCAATGTCCAAGGCCAATTACTAAAAATGTGTTCACTCTGCTGCATCTGAATCATCTTTTAAAGGCCTTCTAAAATAATCTCCCCAAGCAATTTCACTGTATTAATCTCTATTCAGCGACCTCCCCATAATTTTGATCAGAAAACCCTTATTAAGAAAAATAAAGTTGTGTGGTTGAAGAGACTAGTGAAATAGTAACATAACAACTTTTTACAGAGCAGCAATGTACTTTAGTATATTGACTGCTATGAGAAGTCTTGTAATAAAACAAGCTTACTTTAAATTTATTTAATCTAGAGTATAGTACCCATGTGCATTTGAGCATGTAACAACTTTTTATAAAGTAATGCCCATCCACATCATATGGAACTAGTGCTCTATGAAACACTTTTCAAAGTGGGGCTATAATATCTGGTTTTGAAAAAGTGATGCAAAAATCTGTCTAGTGTTTTCTTTTAATCTACAAAAGTTATATCTGGTCCTGTAATATCACCTTTGTGAGAATTTTTACTGTCCCCCGAGCCATGGATTAAAAACACTGGTGACTAGGAGGAAGATAAAATGACCGCAACTTTCCTGGTCAGCTACGGGTTGCAAGTCTGCGCTCTGTGCACACTGGATAAGCACCTTAGCACAACAATTTCAGAACCCTTCCTGAACACACATGAGCCCATCAGAACACAAGCTCAAATGGAACTGGACAGAAGCAGGTCCCTCAACCCCGTGTGGCCTTGGACCTTGTAGGTCAGAGGTGATTTTTGCATTTGCACATTTAAGAGGCATCTCACCAAATAATTTAGATTTTGATTCCTAATGTTCATTTTTGGCAATCTGCAATACCAAATACAGATCAAAGTGTTTTACCCACCTGGGAAGTTTCTCAATAGGAATTCCAGCATCTTGAGTCTCAGGTTCTGGAGCGCTGAAGTAAATAATGTTAGGAAAAAAGACATCAGTGGAATTAGGACACAAAGAAAAACAATATAGCCTAATAAGTTGGCATAGTTTCCCAGCAGAATAAAGGACAAAACTTATTATGAATGTAGGAATACTCATTAAGATATAAAGAAAAAATCAAAATTACTTAGTCTGGCCACTCCCAGTAATCACTATTAACTCTTTATTGTACTTTCCTTTTATCTGTTAGAACCTGGTGTGTGTGTGTGTGTGTGTGTGTGTGTGTAAATACAAAGCCACAAAGTTGGGATCATATTTCACAGTTAGACCCTGTGATTTTAAACTAACAATGTAAATTGTGACAAGAAAGCTTTTAATTGCATGATTATCCAGATCTAATTTTACTTCTCATAAATGTCCATGGGAATTTTACATTAATGTCTGATTTCCTCACAATCTATGTTCAAATTAAAAGAGAAAACAGTTCTGTAGTGCTGTGTAATTACCCCTTTCCTGCTAAAGCGGGACAAATTGGACTCTTGTAATTCTCAGCCACAGCTCCACAAGAGGTACATCGAGTTTTAAATAAGCTACCTGAAAAACACGAGTTAAGCAAGACAAGAATTTAGCACGGTAAGAATCATCATCTTCATGTCTAAAAAGCACAAAATAATTTAGCTTTAATATGTTCACTTTAGCAAGTGGGCCGACCGTCACAGCTAAGCGCATGTTGCCCTGACTTATAACCCAGAGAGACATCACCACACGACCCTCTCCACTGCCACCCATTCACTGTCTAAAGAACTGCCAGGTTACAACCTTGGAGGCATGTTCAGGGGAACTGAAGTGGTCAGTGGGTAAAAGCAGCCTACCTAAAGTGAAAGCATGATTTAGTAGGTAGATGACTGAAAAAGATTCAATAGCTTGCGATGCTTACCTCTACATTTACAGACAAGTTTTCAAGTAAGACAGCTTTCATCAAAAGCAATGAATGAACAATGAACAAATAAATGAAGAAAATAATTGTTAAAACTAGCAACCACGTACTGGGCTCATCAGTAAGGACCGAGACTCACAGCTGTGCCTGGCACTGTGCCAGCACACAGCTCTGCAGACATACAGCGCCCTCCTGCAGCGCCATCTCTCCTCCATCCCATGCCAAGTCGACAGCGCTGTCAATCACACCCCAAACCACAGGCCTGGGCATGTTCCAAAATGGTTGAATCATCACACTCTATTCCTCTAGAAGTAGGTTGCCAAAAGGGAGGTATGTGTCCCAAGCAAGGCCATCTAGCAATTTCATTTTCTGAGGAGGGAGATAAGTGAATGTAGCCAAACGCTACCTTCACCTGGAGGCAGATCCAGAGGGAGAAGCGAGGTTAATGCAGAATAAACAGAGCTGAGAGGAGAGGGCAGGTGCCTGCTGAGGACATCTACTCTGATCCAGGGCTCCACAGTTTCCTGAGCTGATGGATCTATTCGTCAGTTTCAGAGTAGCAATTGCCCCCACCCTCTCTGAAATTCTCTTGTGTCCTACAATTGTTGCTGGCTGGGTGATGAATGTTAGGAAGTTGTCAAGCTTCACTAGCATCTCTTAAAGGCTAACACGGATGACCCAAATGTGTGGTGACTTGCTTGCTATTCTCAGCGGCCTGAAAGGACAAAGGCAACCCCTGGGCATTTCAGCAGCTCCACCACCGACCACTCATAGGCTCTTTGAAAGAAAACAATCCCGGTTGTTATTCCAAAGCCTTTCACTGATACATTTTTGTTAAGCCCAAGAAAGGCCAAAATCCAACTTGTAGAATGTATGTGAGCAGCTTGCAAGGGAACCCAGAGATAACAGGGGCACCCTTTTGGGATATGTGGGGTCGCCAGGCCCTAGAAGATACAGAGCCTGAAATTGTGTGAGAAAAGCAGACACAGAGCCTCAAGTCACCTAGAGGTTGTTCAGATGAACTAGCAGGTGAGAAATACCTTACTCGATATCATTCATGTTGGTTTTTTAAAATCTACTAGAGTGAGATTGTTTCTAAAAATCTGTAAGTACGTTTTTTCACAAGCCTTTCCTATAAATAGATAATCTCAAGTCTAAGGGGGTAATAAAACATCATAATTTAAGCAGACTTTTCTTTCCAAGTGTCACATTGAAAACATGATGCTTCTTAAAATGGATGGCGTCTTCACTTTGATAATAGGAGGGGAGTTCTTTTATTTTTACTTAAATTAGAAGAGAGTTCTCATCACCTACAAAAAGTGCCAATATGTTTATCACCTAATTTAATACTGTTTTCCTTTTATCTATTTACTTTAATTTTAAAAATATATTCACTACATCACCCTTCATTTTTGTACAATGTATGATTTCCCACCACCCATTTCCCTGTGCACCATCACCAGAGTCCCTTGTGCTCTTCCCACCCCTGTCGTGGTCCTTCTCCCTCCTCCGTTCCTACAGTGTGTCTCTAATCTATAGTTGCCTGATGTTGTTGATTTTTACTTTATTATAGTTACTTTTTTTTTTCTGATTCCTTTTTTGTTTTCTACATTCCTCCTATAAGTGAGGCCATTTGATATTTTTCTCTTTCTTTCTGGGTTATTCTGCTAAGCATAATCCCTTCCAGCTCTATCCATGTTGCTATGAAGGACATGAGCTTATCCTTTATGATTGCTGAGTAATATTCCACTGTGAACATATGCAAACTGGTCCAACCACTATGGAGAGCTATGTGGAGGTTCCTCAAACTACGAAAAATGGAGCCTCCGTATGATCCAGCAATAGCAATTTACTCAAAGGACACAAAAACATGAATTCCAAAAGACATCTGCACCGCTATATTTACTGCAGCACAATTTATAATAGGTAAGCGATGGAGGCAACCCAGCTGCCCAAAAATAGATGACTGGATAAAGATGTTGTGGTATAATTTAATACTTAAACAACTCTGTATGGTATTTGCCCCATTTTATACATCTTATACAGTGCAAAGGACAGTCCATCTGATGGTGGAGAGACATGAGAAGAGCTATGGGAGAAGCGTCCAGAACCAGCAGGGGAAGGTGGCCAGACTGTTAGTGCTGTGGGGACAGGCCTTTCCTGGGACGCAACAGAGAGGGCTCCAAGCAGTGCTGGACTTTCCTGGCCAGGGTGGTCACAAACCTAAGCAGACACAGAACAAGCACCATTCCCCCCAGGGTCACCAATGGAAATCCCACCACTAGCTATGCTCTCCTTGAGACTAGAGCTGTGGCCTCTTCTGTGTAGATGCCAGTGGGAAGGAAAGTGCAGGGGAACAAAGGGAAAGTAAATGCGGCAGCTTTCTAAACCGGGTCCTGCTAAAGTCACAGCTGATGGCCCAAAGCCCCCCACTTCCCTCTGAGCTGCTGGGCAGCTGTCTTGCAGCAGAATGCTCTCCCCAAGGAGATACATAGATGTTTCCAGTATCATGTGCAAACCAGACGCTGGGGCATCTTGTCAAAAATGCAAATTTCGATTCAGTGGGTCCAGGTAGGAAATTACAGGACGTGTGTTTTAAACTCTGACTGTCCCTTACCATGGATTTCCAGAAGGTTCTTGGTACCAGCCTTGCGGTGCAGTTCGTCAATGTTCTGGGTGATGACCATGACCCGTCGGCCCTGTTTGTGTAGCCGGGCCTCGCACTCAGCAATGGCCAGGTGCCCGGGATTGGGGTCCTTGCTCTGCATGACCTCCCGCCGGTAGTGGTAGAATTCCCACACCTGGGACGGGTTCCGTGCAAAGGCCTGTGGAGTGGCCAGGTCCTGCGGGAGAGAGGAGACAGAAGTGTCAACACCTGGAAACACAGGCAGTCCATGAACCATGGGTTCATCTTTGCTACAGATTCATGTACTTGGCTGTCACAGTGGGGGCCAGGACACCACCTGTGTCCCCATCCAGGGACTAACCAGGGGACTTGTAGAAAATGAGTTAAATAGCCACAATTTTAAGATGAGGATAATGCAACCTGTCCCACTCTCATTGACATGACATGAAGTAATAATGTGGGAAATTAACTTAGGTAGAGTCTACTTTTTCGTGGCCCCTCAAAACATTTGATGTCAATCTCATTTATTCAGAAAAAAAGTAAAATGTAAAATATTCAACTGACATATAACGGCCATAGTTCAGAAACTCAATTTTCAGAACTATGATTACAGCCATACTCACAGTACACATATAAAACACAGTACATTTATAGTACCAGAATATGTTTAAAATATACGTGTGTGTGTACATATATATATATTAATAACTTCTTTAAGATTATTTATTTATGCACACAAGAAGTGGGGTACAGGCTGGAGGTGCTCGGGAATGAGAAGTTTCACCAGAGGCAGAGTAGGGAACAGAACAGGTTGACTGAAATACATGCTAAGGGGAGCAGTGGGTGAGACAGGAGAGGTCTGCTGCGCCACGTGGGTCATCGCCCTGGCCAGGGACCAAACTTGTGTTGCAGTGGCTACAGATGGCTTCACAGAGCTGCACTCTAAGCTCTTGAGCCACCAGGAACGGCCCTCTTCTAAGAGAGACAGATCTCTGTGGTGAAGAGAGCAGTGATTGGCTGGGACTGGAAGCTGACAGGCACAGTGGAGCCTTGCAGATATGTGGATTTGAGGGGGCATTGCATAGCTGTATACGTCTGTCCAAACTTGGAGACACGCAGACACACAGTGTGCCTTGTGACCTGCTTCTGTGCAAGCTCTCCCTCATAGTGCTCATCCTGAGGAGCAGCGCAGCTTCTTTATCTGGCACAGGCTGCACGAGCTCAGAGATGGAGCATCGTCCCTCCCCACACTGAGACATTCACCTGGCCCTTCTGCCTGGCGATAACATCAGCCTTCCTTTGGGGACTGGACCATCTCTGGAGGTTATCCCATTGACCTTCTTCCCTGCTCCTGTTCCACCTGGCCTGGAGCAGGTTACAAGCACATAAACCTGTATCTTTGTGTTCTTGGAACACAGTTGTGGCTGAACACCTTCTATGTGGTGTGCTACAAACACAGGACATCTACTTCCCACACTTCTCAGTCACTGAGACTACTGACCCTGTGGAAAAGTTCCTCCTGGCTCCCTTGGGGCCCCCACCCTGCTTCTCTAATTCAGAGACTGCTCTCTGCTGGCTCCTTGTTCCTGGGGGCGTTGGGGGCGGGAACCCTAGTGGCACTTCTCTCCCCCTTTCACCTCTACTGGTGGACAATGCCCACATCGACATCCTCACCTCCAGGTGAGCAGAACAGTGAGCATGCACCCTCAACTTTTGCTAGCTGAGACATTTCATGGGGAAAGTTAGGGTAGTTCATGGACCCTTCACTCAACAGGAATGAATTAATCTGAATAACCATCTTCACTCAACAGACAAAAGTCTCCAGCCCTGACATGGCAGAGTTCTGGAAGCTGGGACAGAGCAATGAACAAATTCCCTGCCCTCCAAAACGAGTGATATCCCAGGCCGAGGAGTGCAAGGAAGGGGCTACAAAGCACTGTGAAGGAATATTCTGGGGCACAGACATGTTCCACATGTGATGGTGGCGGTGGCTGTGGCTCCACTGATATCTGTGGGACCTCACTGGATTGTGACTTAACACTGGTCAAATTTTGTGCATACATCACATCTCAATAAAAATGGAAAAAAGAAAGCTCTACATTCTTATAACTCACATCCTCATGGCCTTTAAATTTTTGAATATCAAGTGCTATGCCTTCGTTTAATTCAACTTTGGTTTTACAAGTTTACAGAAAACTTTGGAAATGTGTAGGACTTAACTTCAATATCCACAGAAAAGTGAATGGATTATGCTAATTAAGGTTTTCTGATTCTGATTTAATTACTTCAAGAAATCAGTTGTTATCTCAATAGGTACATTCTCTAGTGTCTAGAGAGTGGGGACAGTGCTGCTTTGCTTAGCTGACTCAGCTCTTAGAGGCAAAGTGAAAAGATGAAAAGGGCCAGAGTTCATTCAGCATGTCCCTTCTGGGTTAAAGGCAAAAGTGTATGATCCAAGTTAAACTTTGGCTTCATTCAGAAGAGCTTTTGAATGTTCTGGAAACATTACTGACCTGAGCTTGCCATTTTCGCCAATAGCCTCCAGCTCCTCTGAAAGTTGGAACCCCGCTTTCAGCACTCACGCCAGCCCCTGAAATGATGACTATGTGCTTTGCTTTCGCAAAAACCTTCCGAAAATCAGCCATATCTAAACAGAGAATAAAATCTCTATCAACCCAGAGTACCACGTAAACATTATATTCCAGATCAACAGTTTATATTTTGGAATCTGAGCTGGAATGAAACAATGGGATACTCAAATAAAAATCATTCCCATAAAAAGTAATAATAATAATGAATAACTATATATCAGAGACATTTTATGGGGGTAAAGTGGGGAATGGGATCAAAAATGGGGGGCGGGTAGTGCACTGGACTATGGTGATGGCACACAGGTGATTTGGTGATGGGAAGCCCACGGGGGTTACAACTGAGATGGAAAAAGACACAAAATAATGTAAGAATAAACTATTACATTTTTTTTTAGAAATCATTCCCATTCCATGGAGACGCCACCCCCTATATGTGAGTGTACAGTTTCTGAGAAAGGAGAAGGGGTTTGTGGCACGAAGCACTGGCTGCTTTGAACCCCAGCTCCACCTTTGTCAGCCTAGGGGTCTCTGCAAATAAATGGCTTATGCGCCCCTACTCCCCTTGGCTCCTTGAGGTGCACAGCCTTCCCCAGACAAGGCTGTAAAGAGGCTAATGTGTCTTCCCACATGAAAGTGAAAACAAGCATGTACGTGCGTGAGGACTGAACTGAGGTTCACTGGACCCTAGAGTTTAACTCAATTCACCTTCCCTGTGGGGAGCTGGGAATAATCACTGCTAAGGGCAAGGAAGAGGCCTTAACCTGTGACAAACACTCGCCCCAACAGTGGACACGTGACCTCCCTTACAGCTCCAGTAAGAGACTTCAGACATTGGCACCAGAGAAGAAGATAATAGCAAAACAGTGGGTAGTCTTCATCGCAGACTGCGGACTGTCCTCTGGGACCCCAAACTTTGTCTTGCACATCTAGGCACCTCCTGCCTGGTCTCAGAACGACAGGGGCAGTAGCCCCCATTCAGTGAGAGTCCACCATATCCCAGACTCTGTGCAAGCATTTTATGTAGATCACAAGGTGGAGTTTATCCTCCTTCCAGGACAAGAATCAGGACTCTGACTTGGAACTGCCATTGTTCCCTAATCTGCAGAGAAGCCTGGGCAGAGCAAGTGGCTGAGACTAGCACCATTCTCTCCCAGATAGGTACTACTTTAAGCAAGTTCTAGAAACAGACGAAAAAGTCAACGCATATTTTGCTTTTGGATAACAGGACATAAGATATAATAATGTTAATATGGTACAAAATCTCTTTAAAAAAGACATGTCCTTGCTGCCAAAGGAAAATGCACCAGCATGTTTTGCGGCTCCAAACCCAGATGTCCACTTTTGGCTGACATCAGGCACACAGTCCCCAGGCCCACCAAGGCTGGGAGCACCGGGGTGGCAGCTGAGTGCAACTGCATTCTTTAGTTTCTTTTCTATTCCTGAGGTTGGCAGGAGGGGTTATTACACCTGAGCAGACTTGTAGAATTAGAAGAAGGATCTGAAGAGGAGGCAAAAGGGCTTGGCCTTTCAGTGCCATATTAAAGCACTTTTAACAGGCCCAACAAGGATCATTTCTTACATAAATGCAGTAGGCTTCACACAGATTCCTTCTGCAACCCAAACATCCATGATTCCTACATGCAAGATAATAATGTGGGTCTGAGAAAGTCAAAAGCAATTGCATATAAATTAACGGTAACAGCATTGCCAGACCCCCAAAACAAGATATCATATAGGAACGTTCTTCTTTTGGATAACAGATGAAACCTGAACTCATACACACTATAAGTCCACGTGTTAACCTGTGGTTGTCAGGCAGAGACACAATTCCTTTCTGTCCAGTAGAACATTTACCCCATATTACCCTGTTGGACAACCAGCAGCTTTTCTTCCCTGCAAAAGGTGAGGGTTTAACTTACAGATAGAATGTGAAAGCTAAAATATTAACTCTAGGAGCAACAAGACATCTTACATGGGCTTGACTTGATTACTAAGAGTCTTTGACCTAATTTATCAGAAGGAGTAGAGAACAAGCTGGGTTTCTTTCTCTAAAATCTTCTAATACCCACGACATTCCACTCCAAGTGTGGGAACTGTCAGGTACTTCAAAGTCCACTGGAGATGAGATGACGGCTAAGAAAGACCTACTTGAACTTGGACGAGTCATTGTTAGATGAATCTTGGTTCTTGTAGAGGTTGGAGACTTCAGTCTACAAACCAGCTGGGAAACAAATCGCCTTGGCACAACTTGGAGAGGGCTCATCAGGTTTCCTTTATAGTGCCAATTCTTCAGATGAACTCTAGAAAAACCACCACAAAAAGAAACACTCAGAAAAGATTATACTTCTAATATATATAATTTTTAAAACACAAATGCAAACATGT